TCATTAAACTGTAAACTGACAGCCAAATTTTTGTGCACAAGCCAGATAATAAAAATGCACCCAAAATAAAATGGGTAACTATTTGATTAGAGTCCTAACCCTGATCTCCTTTGAAAGATAAATACAGCAATATCCATGTGTTCCATGTGTGGAGAACATCATATACACATGAGTGTATTTTGGCCATCTCTTGTGGGGAGCTGGAACGAAGATGCTCTGGAGATTATATACACTGTGCTTTGGTGACCTCTGCAGGTTGAACTCCTATTCCTTAGTCTGTTGGTAAATGACGCCATATGGGGGGTGTTCTCATTTAGCCAGATGTGACAGGAATACCAATGTACACCACTGCTGAGCTGGGGAGGAAAATTAGGACACGGAAGTTTCCATTTTAATGAGCCCCTCAAGCCCATACTTCAAGACAAGGCCATCAATCTCTATTTTGCTAGGAAGGTGAGGAAGAAAGATACTCACATCTGATGTAAGCCATCGGACGCCACACAGGAGAGAACTATTTAACAAAAAAGAACACACACACACACACACTCACACACACACACACGCTTAAAAAGAAATAGGTATTTAAGTAACAAAACAAAATATAATCTCATCTAACCTCTCAACCATCTTTCCAGCTCCTGACAGGTTGCCTGGACTGATGCTGTATACGTCGGGCTCTTCACTGGCCTTTTCAGAGACAGTTATGGTTGGTGTTATTTCATTGCTGAGGCCGAACCTGTCTGTAACTTTGCCTTTCTTCAGCACCAGTGACCTTGATTTTTCTGGCTTAAAACTCAACTTTGCCCAGCCACTCAGTATATTTCTAACAGTCTTTATAGATATTGTTCTTGGAGTCTAATTAACTTCACACTCACCAAATGGATATGTGAATGGGAAAATTTGAGTATTCTAAACACCTTATGAAAAAAGTAAGTAATGCAAGTAATACACAAAATACAATAATTACATTCAATGAACTCACTCACTTTAAAAATCAAAAATTAAAAATCCAGGTTGACAGGACAAGACCTCTGAAGAGGAACTTGTGGGTTTAATTTTAATTTTATACAGATATAATTAATGCATTAATCATTAAACAGGACAATGACAGAGTTTGAATAAAGAAATGTATTACTGCTAACTAAGAGGGGTAACGGGGGTTAATCAATAGTGAATAAAATGAACTGTGTAATGAACTGGGGAGTGGTGGGAGAGAATATGATTTGGCTATTTACTTTATGGCTAAATGATACTGAGATGTCTATGAATTAAATTTGATGGTTAAAATATTATTTTATCTCAACATCAGCCCAGTACTGAGCAGAATATTCAGATCTCTCCTACTGTGAGTTGCACAGTGACTGGAGATTTTCCTGGTTGGAACTCGCAGCAGTTGGTGTTGGAAACCCGGGAACTTCTCCATGACAGACTCTGGGGTGGTTTCCCTGGAGACGAAGTGTAGTTGGCACCCCTGTTGATTTCTCTGTAAGCTTCTCTGTGGGCGCTCTGGGGCAGATCATGTTGTCAGTATGCCCCTTGAAACTGCATACTATCCTTTGCACTCATATTGTGCAGTGCCAGTGTGCACACCTGTAGCTGTGTTCCCCTGCCAGCTCCTCCTAGCCCCGTCTCATCAGCATCACTGGGCCGACTCAGTTCTGAGGCTGCAAAAGAAGAGCAGGAACAACACATACAAATGCTAGAAACGTTTTATATTTTAATTATTTGCATTAACTGTTAATAACACATGAAGTTAAATAGCCAGCTAATACAAGCACAGGGATGCCCAAAAACTAGTAGCTAGCTATAATAGCCAAATTTAATGTCACCTGAGCTAGCGCCTAGCTACAACACCCCTGCTTATCATTTCACCTGCTGGGTCTTTACGGCATGCTCAGAATATACCTGTTATTTTGGAACATTTCGCTGCATCCGCCTCCAGTATTTTTTTTTCTTTTTAATAATTAAAAATGAATTGATAATAATCTAATATTTATAATCTAACCTTCTCAGAACCACCGTACTCCTTTCTCTTTTTTGCTGCTTCCATGCCTCCAAACCAATGTGAACACACACATCCCCAACCTGTCTCTGATAACCCCATGGAGAGCTCATAGCCGTTATCGGGTCATTAGCTGACCTATTACAATTCAAGGCACGCCTAGGTTGTACCACTTGAGGGTGGGCCACTCATATACCCCTCTACTGCAAATATAGACTTGGTTGCAGCTCGCACACTGGGAGCACACTGGGGCTGTGAGTGCACAGTTTAGGCAGACCATATGGCACAGCGAGGTAGCCTACTTTTACATAATGCCAACACATCAATCAGTCTGGCCACCGCCCCGAAACTCTAACAACCCTTACCCTCCCAATTATCGCGCTGCTGCTGATGTAGCCTGTGTCTCTTTCACGATTTGATGCTAAACTTTTGCCAGATAACTGCAGAGGGGATTGTTGTTGTCCAGAAGACTCTTCTGCTTTTCTGTTTCTGTTGGTATTGAACTGGCTTGTAATAGTAAAAGGCTGTGCGTGTGGGCAAAGGAAAAGTAACTTGGAGCACGAGGCAAAAGAAAGAACACGCGGGCAAAAACGACAAAAGGGGAAATAGGTGCAAAAATGGCAAGATGGTATAAAGCCAAAAAGCAATGTGCAGTGTGGTTCCAGTGTGGCGCACATTTCAGGGGCAGGACCCATCTACCCTCTTTGTTATAACTAGAGAAGTGAGTAATTTTCTATAGAACTTTTGAATTCTGTGTTTGAATCTGTGAGTTTACTAACAAAACTCACGTCTGCCTTCCACCACGACCCATTAAGACATTAAATGAAACAACATATAAACCAATAATAACCTAATAATGACAAAAAGAAACAATACAATGTCTCTGCTTCTACTTACTATAAGTAACAATCTCATACCAATGCAGTGGTAACGTCTTAATGTTGCAAAGAGATTGAAGATTTTGATTTTTTACTCCAGTTTTGCCTTGTGTCCATTGTTGAACCTCTGGATCTTCTGTCTCAGCAGATTATTTTGCTGTTCTTCTCTCCTCTCAGCTGAACCGGTCGACCATCCTGAGTCCGGTTCTGTCAGAGGTTTCTACCTGTTAAAAGGGAATTAGTTTTTGCTCTCCACTGTCACCAAAGGCTTGCTTATAGTGGGAACTTTTGGGTTTCGCTCTATAAAATAAGATTTTAAGGCTTTGATCTTGAATTCGAATATAAATGGTTTAAATTCAGTTTTTTAGTGATACATATTCGTGCCCACAGTTTTTCTGTTTTATTTGTTGGCTATGTTTTGTTTTCACTGCAAAAAATGAATAAAAGGGTGTTTTTTAAACAGGAACGGCAGTCTGTGCAGCTAGATGAGGCAAGAAAATTAAGCAAAACAAAAAAATAAAATAGGATCAAAATTACTACAGTTACTTTCCTTCAGTTTCTCCCCACCTACTTGACTGACTGGATTTCTGAAGACCAGCAGCACTCCTTCCTGGGTCTGGATACTAAACATATCAAATGTGAAGTACCAGGAAAAAAATATCTAAAAATCAATTAGGTAATAAGGTCATCTTCAAAATAGTTACTATTAAGTGACAATGACACACTTCAGTGACAATACAGAATCCAGATACATCACTAAAACAAGTTCACACTCAGTCACACTTTGATTGTTGAACACAGATGACTAGGTCCAGATCTTCCTGGAGGAGGCCACAGTGATGGACCTGAGATTCAAACTAAAAATGGCTGGGGATACCACCTGGGACAGGCTGAGCCCAGCACTAGTAGCATTGAATACCACAGACAGCAACAGAGGTATTTGACTGAAAATCCTTTTGATTGTGACACATTTCTATTGTGATACCTTTACCCTGGTTCCATGCATGGGACTTTATATGGTCAGTTTCTTTTCAAGCTCTCAGAGCAACAGTTAAACCATTAAACTCAACCATTTGGTGATAACAATAAACAGGTCAAATAAAAGTGATGAAAGAGGAAGACGAAAGGGAAACTAAACAACAGATTTACTATAAAAAGCCATCCTGTAAAAATAAGTTTAAGGTCCATTTAATTTCAGACCCCACGCTTGAAGCAACGTAAGACAGCCTTGGAGGAACTGTTTGCAGAAGAGGAACGTGAGCTGCAGCAGACGATCCACCAGACCTTCCAGTCCTGGCAGTCCAGCAGTGAGAGATTTGAGCAATACGTCCAGATGTACAGAGAAGGCCTGCCTCCTATCCTGGTATCAGCTGACCCTGCTCTCTGGTGATGGCGGAATAGAGAGACACTCACACACACAGGGGAGACGCAGGAGTTTGGGTCTTGAGGAGTTGTAATGTTTATTTACTGATAAACAGCCTTAAGTTGCACTGTTACATTCACAGCTGTACTGCTAACGTCTAACTTCTCAGCATTTTCTAATGTGCAAGTTTAGTTTCCACACACATCTGCGGATGCGAACAGTGAGTACAGTATCATAACTGAACTCAGAACGGTGGAATCTGAGTCAAGGGCAGCTTGATAAGCACTCAGTGGCTATAGCTGGTCACCGGTCAAAGATCCCAGGATTATCCTCAATGCACATGTGAAAACATCCAAAAAATGCTGCTCCCCCCTCTGCTTGACAAGCCTCAGCATCTGTCAATGGGACACGGTCACGCTCACGAAAATGACAGAAATGATAGATGCAGTGACTGGAAGTCAACCCAGCTTCCAGAGACAATAACTTACTGTGGCCACAAGAGGGCAGTAAATTACATGATGGATGCAAACAGGCAATATGAGATGGCTTTATGGGACAGAACACTGTTCTGAGATCAGATGCTTTCACTTCAGTATGGAATCACAATATTTCAAAATCGTGAAAAGGAGTTCTGTGAATCTCCACTTGATTCCTCAGTGTTGTTTCATTCAAAAGAATAAATCTTTTGGGTGAACAAACTGAACTGAATCACTTCCTGAAACGATCTGTTTTCAGTCAGTTCGGTTGAGCTGTCAGTCAGTTGCGAGCGAACGTGCAGGGATACGCTCGTGTATGTAATAAACAGAAAATGTAAACAGTATGGGATATTCTCAGAACACTAGGCAGTCTTCAACTGTAACCTGTAGGACCAGGCAGATAGCTTACAGACAAGGTAGGTAAGTAGGTACTTTATTGATCCCAGTCGGAAATTACTTTGCCACAGCGGCAACACACATACAACACAACACAACACCTCACAAGTAGCGTACAGAGACAAGAAACAATATGAGTGTGATTCATAGCTTACAATGCGTGGTGAAACCCGCATTATGAAAAAACAGCTGTCTGAGTCTGAGACTGTCTCAGCTCCTTTCAGTGATTCATTCACTGAACGAACACAATGAACGTGAGCCCTGAGTGATAGACAGTCACTGAGTCGCTCAAGCCCGAGTAATGCTGCCAGGTAGAGGAGGAGAGGCAGGGTTGCGGGTGAGGCCTAGGCTTGTAGATATTTGTCTGAGGGTTGCACTGGTATACATGGAGGTCTATAAGCACTCAGTCATACATGGTTTTAATAATGTGGGCATTATGATTATAGGGGTATTATATCTTTACATAAAGGCTGTATGTATCTCTCATAAATGCAGAAAGCCTATGGTGTAAGCCCTTGCCTACACACCGCAGTCATAACTGTCTGGAAATGAATTCAGAACAGCTGTAATGTTTTGAGTCGCCCACTTGATGGCAGAATTGTGACTTCAGAAACACAGTCTACGCTTGAACATTAGTATGAAGTACAGCTTTAACACCATCAAGACCTTACTGAGAAATTCACATCATGTGTACAGTGCACTGCATTTGGAGCAATTATTGTTGTTAGGGGTGATGTCGTATAGAGTTATAGAGATTTAAAACAGAAAAAAACTTTACTGGCATTTATGTTTGTTTGTGTAGTTGTCTGCCTGTAAATCTATTCAATCATTTGTGTACCTGTGTGTGTGTGTTTATGTCTGTGTGTGTGTTTTATATATGGAGAAAATAGGCCTTCACTGAACTGTGGCTCTTTGACTGAATATCACACAAACTTATTTGGCCTGACTGTTTTTAGTATTTTTACTACCAAGGAAAAAAAATGTCTTGATGAATTGTGTAATTTCCATTCTCTTTTACCTGGCGAAAGAAAAATGCACTGGGGAAATGAGCACAGAGGAATATAGTTTCTCTTACAGCCTTTGTAAAAACACACAGCTTCCATTCAGACAATCAGACAATAATGCAAAACCTATAAAGAAAGTTCCCAGACTGTTTTTAATCCTTGAGGAGTGCTCATTTAGTTATTTCCTGTTGACTTGTTTGTGAAGAGTGGTCTTTGTTTCTCCAAGATTAAAATTCAATGAGGAAAAAACCCAATGGAGTGTAATAAGAAAAACAAAAAAATTGCCCTGTGTAGCCAGCCAGGAGGTATAGAACACCATTTGTGTTTCATTATTTATGGTGAAGCCATACACTTTTTTCTTTTTTTGAAAGAAATGTCCTTTCCCTGCATCGCTGGGAATTATACACTGCCTGTAGTGGAGTTGCTATGCTTCACTGCTTACTAAATCGACAATTCCCCCCTAGCCGGGCATCGTTCTCAAGCCCATCATGCCAGGGCCCATTTTGATGACATCATCATTGCTGTCACTCTCAGCGGACTCCTCTGTGGATGGACCCCTCTGGGTAAAAGGGTGTCACGGGCTGCTGCACACCCATATCTGCTCGTCCATTGCCCAACACAGCAGTATCCCCTATCAGAAGTCCCTGCAGTGTTGCTTTGCAGCAACAGATTATTCTTGATGACTTCATCTTAATCACATTCAGTTTCATTTTCTTTTATCTCCACAGCGCCATGCCACACTGGCTGCGAAACATTCCACAAGTGGCTGCACACAAGCCTCTTTGAGCATATGCATTTACACACACTGGGACACGGGAACACACACGTCAGCACACGCACATGTGTCTGCTTTTGTTCAGTTATGAGGGAAAACTTCCTGCCTTAATGCCACACGGTTAAATTACTTTTTAATGGGAAAGAGTTGTAATCTAACAAACATTTACTCAGTGGTTTCGCCGCATAAATACATCACTCTCACCATGAAATTAAACAAAACATGTTAGCACTTATGAAGAATGCATGCATATAATGGGATGCATTACAAGGAATCACAGATCTCATTGTCAAATTATGATCCACTGCCAGTGGGTTTCCATGTACTATAAGTTGGTGGTGTAATTAATGACATGTAAATACAGCTTATATGTTTATTCAGGATAAAAGACGACATAACTACATGTGGTGCAGGTCATTGTGAAGGAGCGAGAATTCAAAATCAGTCATATAGTAAGATTAATTCTCCAAATGTTTAACTTGTTCAATTTTTTTTCTTTATATTTCTCATTTTCAAGAGAACGGAGCCCCACTCCCCTTTCCAACAATTCATTTTTAATCCAACAATACACAGAGATGTACGGTAAATGTAAAAACAAACAAAGAAACATGAATAAAACAAGACAAAACACAGAAATATGATTGTAACACAATTGTTCGACACATTCTCTGAACAACTGGAAAGTCAAATTTAGATAGGTGTGGACATTGGGCCGTGTCCAGATTCAAATCTATGGACAATACCCAGTGTTCTTGTTGTGTTTAAATTCAAGTCAGCAATGGTTTGTCGGAAACCCCAAGTAAAGGATCAATCACCCAAAAAACTGTTGAGCTGTTGTAAACCTAAACACATGAACAAGTCTGAACTAGTTTTGCAAAAACAATCTTGCATAATAAATGATGGTCATATAAAAATAATACATTTTTTGTTTCATTTATTAATCCTTAATACATGTTTCATATTTGTGAGTAAAACATTTTAATTCTCAGCTTTGACACGTGATAAAATTGTCTTTTATTCAACTTTAATGAAGAAAAATGCAGATTGTTAAACGTGTACTTTTGCTGTAAACTGACATTGTTTACCATTTGGTAGAAACTCAAAAACAGAACAAAAGAAAAGAACAGACACAAACTGTGTCTGTTGTTGTTGGTTAAGTGTAAAGAAACATGAAATGATAATGCCAGTTATAGTCCTAAATAAAACATAAAACCAGCCTTATTCTATCCTATTCTTCTAGCAATAAATTACACCTACACTAGTGCAAAAGACTCATGTATTTGCACTTACCATAGATGTTCAGGAATGAGTGGTTTGATGAGTAGTGTGTACTGTAGAAGACAAAGACAGAAATAATTTATAATTGTCGAACCACTGTGGTGAACAAAGCAGTCAGTGTAGAGCAGCCTGTTCTCTGTTACAGTGAGCTCTCTGGGTCTCTTCGCTGGCTCTTTGAACACTTTGTGACCTTGCTCTGTGACTCCAGACACACACTCAGAGAAACATGGTTTTCTCAGACATGGCAGCGGGCCAAAATAAATAACCTGCCCTCAGAGTGTCGGCAGAACCGCAAGAAATCCAAAACCAGGACCCGGCCCAGCGGCACTCACTCACAGGGCTATCAGCGAATGACTTGCTGAAATTTTAATTGTCCGAATGCATCATGTGGTTTGGAAACAAAATCAAATCAGGACGGATCATCCTTCCTCTTTGACACCCATCCAAAGGAGAGTAGCATTTTTGATTAGGGTTTCATTTATTTATTTTAGGTGGCTCTGATTTCAAGGTCAGGTTACACCAACTTGGGGGACAAACAGATGACATTGTATGGATAGGTAATTCAAGAGTCTGCATGCTTCGATCCTCACAGATAAGAGGGAGATAAGAGACAGGTGTCTTGTAGAATAGAGGACATCCATCTAGAAATTCAATCGCCAAAGCTCAGTCAAAAATGGTTTCCATGAAATAAAGGGATTGATATCAATCCCTTTCTTCAATTAAGGGGAGCTGAATTTCATACGTGCTGATACCTCTTCAGTAAAAGCTTTTCCCATTCATACAATGCATCTAGTGCAACATCAACTTTTTTTTTTTTTTTTTTTGGAAGTGAATGTGTTTGAGCGTGTGTTTCGCTGTCCTCACAACACGGTGGCAGACGTTTCCACTCCTGTCCGGTCACACCATCGTATCACTTGTCTGATGTCACCACACCAGTCAGGTTATTTCAGCTGTAAATGTGATTAAAGAAATGCTAGAAGTAGACAGTAGACAGGACAGCCTTTGCAGGATGAAACTGTGCGTGCATGTGTGTGTGTGTGTATTGTGTTTGTGTCTGCACTGTAGGTTACAGTCAGTAAATGATACATAGAAACCCACATTTTTTTGGAGCTGAAATACACCAAAATTTGCTTCATACTGCAGGATAGGAAGTGAATTAATAATGAACCTAGCAGGCAGCTTTGATACTTAAAATTTGAAATTTGCAAATTCATGGCAGCCTCTTCTTGCTTGCAGGCAAGTTGCTGAAGGTGCATTTTTTAAATCCACTGGAAGTCCGCGTAAGTGATGGGACGGCACGAGGCTGAGCAAATATGGGGAAAAAAAGGTGATGAACATCTCTGACATTCAAGGTAAGGACATATGGCCAGGAAAAAAAAATCAATAATATTCTACTCAGCAACCAATGAGGGACAAATGGAATGAGACCAGACGCAAAGTCACTCAATCTTTTCAGAGCATATGCAGACCAAAGTGATTTCCCTACAGTTTAAATGATAACAGATAAAAAAAAGACATTTCTTAAATGGAGGTGAAAGCATAAAGAACAAGCTCAACATAATGATAATTAAATGTAAGTAATCAATTTATAATATGAGCCCTCTGAGACTGAATAGTGTGGTGGAATTTAATGTGCTATCCTTTCAGGTTATTATTAATCGTCAGTGCCATTAATAATTGGACAGTAAATATTCATTACAAGCCTCCATATCATGACATAAAGGCTATGTCTGGCCAATTAAAAATGCATAAGGAGTAATGGGGCTTTATGAATAACTTAGCAGATGCCTCTCAAATGCTGGAGCATGGGAAAAGCAGAAAAGACTTGTTCATTGTGACAGTTTTCTATGGACAACATGTTCAGTGTGTTAGTACAAAAAAAAAGAATTTGGAGGCTTCAACAAAACATTGACCATAAGTAAACTTGTGGAGCTCTTTACAACAGTTTAGACAATTGTCTTAGGTGAAGTGAATTTTCAATATATGTAGCTTAAACTGAGACACTACCTACTGTATATTCAAGGGTTTTTATAAATAATCAAACAGTGTTGTATTGACTGTGTAGTATTGTTAATGGTTTAACTTACCTTTGATACTTTCTGATTGTTAATCCATGTGTACTGTAGTTGCCCAGTAGATGTCAGGTTTGTATAAGAGAAGGTGATATCAACACCTACCTTACAGATCCATCCTCAGTCAGGCACACGGGGAAAGCATAGGGCTCTATAATGTTCAAAATGCAGCCCAAATGATTCTCACACCAAATATAAAAACTAAACTTTGCAACAGTAAACCATAAGTTATCATAATCTTAGACTTTTTATCTCTATGTCCAAGTGGCTGCTTTTCCCACTCTTCACAAAAAGGTTGTTTGAGAACGGATTCAGTTTTAGAGCAGCAGCCCAGTATGGATTCATGATTGTTGCTTAGGGTGGAGTCTCGCTGACATGGAGCCACACATGATGAGAGATACCGCTGAAGGATGGTGATGATCCTGGTTTAGTGTGTCACCTGTGGACACCTTGTCCAAAATCCCTCGCTGTTTACTATATAGTGCACAATATTTACTGTCCAAATTCTGAATGTACCAATTTACCCATTATATTGTGCAGTCAATAGAACACCAAAAGTAAGCTACATTTCTGCTAGCAATCCCACATGCAAACTGTCAATCATAAAGCAACATTTGTCTCATATTAGGTACATATATACAGTATAACTGGAAATATAGGCTGGGCTGAACAAATGCCCCGTTGAGTACACCAGCTGCTCTTTTGCCCTTTCAGCTCCTGTTTCCTGTACAGTATGTTTGCATTTCTGTGAGATGAGCCGGTGGAGCCAGCGAGTTCAGCATCAAACTTCATTCCTTTAGTCACCTAGAGTTGTCTCCAGCAGTGGAAATGTTAACTCTTGTTTTGTCTTGTCCTGTCACTTCTTTTCTTGTACTGAAGTTAGCATGGTAACCAGCTAGCCCCAGGTCTTGTTATGCTTCCATGGCTTTGAAACTCTTAAGGCCATGAATGCTTTGATAACAGAATAAATTCATGAAAACTGCAAAGAAGACTGATTAAATTCTTTAAATCAGCTTTTAGATTTCTACATAGCCAATGTTAGGATTAACACCTGTTTACTCACAAGTCTAGAAGAAATGTTGCGAGGTCAGCACTGTCTCGTCACTTTCCAATACTGAGTCACTGCAGCATTCAGTCTGCCCTGCAGAAGTAGTAGTAGGTGAGAGGGTGCATTGTAACCTATTGTATCATAAATGCAATGATGGCTGAAGCTTTCTCAAGACTGGTAATTAAACAGCTGTCAATGCTAACACTGGCTATGTAGCAGTAGCAAAATGTACAAATAGCTCCTTTAACACCAAACATTATACAGAACAAATCTAACCCAAGAGTAGTAAAAAGAAACTGTTGCATTCATTCCTGAATGGGGGAGTGGGGGGGTGACTTTTGGCACCAGTAATATGTCTTCTTAGTTGCTGTGATTCTGAAGCTGAGATGACTCTGAGTGGCTTCAGAGTGGGCTGCACTGCTCTGGTACTACACAAGTGAAGGTGACGCTTCTCAATCCAACATGTGTACTAAATATCCAAAGCATAAAATGATTTAAAGCAATGGATTAGACTCACTCCGCCTATTTCAACAGGAAAGATCCTTGTGTTGAACTCTTTAAATACTCACTCATACTTGACAGAAACCTCAGAGAGTCAGCCAAAATCAGCTAAGGTTGTGTGAGCACATTGTTTATGTCTGGCAGCAGTATACATAGACTTAACTAACCTCTCTGATCACCCTGGAGAGCTGTGCGCAGATAAAAAAAAAAAAATATTGGTGTTAATAGGTTCATTACGCTCCTCTAAAGTGGAGCTTAAGTCAAGCCTGTGCATTCAGGTTTTAATTTGGATGTGACAATTACCAAATTGTGTTTGTTGCATTTATCTCTGGAATGTGTTGCATTTATCTCAGAAAGTCTTTTGACAGGCAGGTTTTTTTGGCAGGGATTTGTTTATTTTCAGAACACTCAGCTGTCATGTGCACATGCTCCACAGCCAACAACAGTTTCCCCTTCACATTATTTTGAAAAGACATTGCTATGGCCACCTTGACTTGAGTACTAACCCTGATGGCTGTGATTGGACCAGGAGGTAGAAAATGCCTCGCAGTGTTTTTTTTGTTTTGTTTTTTTTATCTTTATCCACAAATTTTTTTTATCTTCATCTGCAGTGATAACGACTACACCCAGATCTGTATGCTGAGCTTGCAAAGCACTTCAATCCAAAACGTACTGGTTTCATATGTTTCCCAGTCCTCCCCTCTCATTTTTTCCACTTTCTTTGATCCCCATGTTTCATAAAAACACCTGACATTTTGTTTTGGACCAGCTACCAGTGGGTAAATTACTCTTATTTCTCCAAATAAAACTGAAGTTAGTGGTTACATAGCAAGTTAGGAATGACTGAAACTGTGTGATCACGATATCCTCAGCTACCACAGAGCAAATTACTACAACAAATTACAATTACAAATCACCTACAATACTGATTAGTCGATGCCCTCATAGGATGCACTGACAATGAATCATTTCCCAGTGGTCTCTGTGTGCAGTTCACTCTGAGCAAAAGTCAAAAGCCAGAACTAACAGGGAGGTAGTAGTGGAGTCTTGTAAAGGTGAGGTAGTGGCATACTGGCTGACGAGAAGAAGATTTTAGTATATTTCCCTCTTGGCATTTCAGACGTCGTATTTGTCCGGAGACTCTGACCTGTCCATGTATGACTGTGAATTTGAGTGTTTCCCAGCCTTCTGCCCAGTGCATGCTGGTATATGTTCAAGCAGCCCAGACACAAGATAAATGTTAAGATGTGCATGAGGTTCTGTGATGACTATCTCAAGGTCTATGCAGATTTGTGATTTAGCAGCCACATCTCACTCAGTCACTGCAGCACATAATACAGTACTGGAACAAAGCCACTGGTCACTCATTTGCACACAGTAGTTGTACTTTTCCATCACAGCAGAACAGTATTCTGTACATTCACAGCTGTCTATTAATTAATGTGAATGACATTATGATATACAATGATAAGCTCACAGCCAATGTAGAATCCTTGTGTACTCTACCTGTACACACAGAGCATGGACAAAAATAAGAAAAGTAGAAACACACAACACAAACTGGTCTCAGAAAGGACGATAACGTCGCATCTGCACCTCTCAGATGAAAAAAGATCATTTATTTAGACATTTTCTCACAGGTCTGCTGTATCCAACTGCAATGCAAATATTGCAGTTAAAATTTTTTAAAGTTAAAGTGCAGTTATTAATATTTTGACAAACTACATTTTCAAAGCAATAGGATGTGATCGTGTCAACCACCTGTGTACAGGTCTAGATTTCAGAGCAGTCAATTGACGTGTGCTGGTTTAAACTCGTCTCCAGACCAGGCGGTGTTATTCTTCAAACAGGTGGTGCATCTACTTAGCTGAACAGCTTGTTTTGCGTGGTTGCTGAAAATAAAGATCGACTGATCCAGAAACTTATTACCAGTATCTGTCCATTCTTAGACTGTTTTGTTGCAAGAATGGCCAATTGAACATAACTTGTCTATAATTGCTTTTTTTTTTTTTTTTTTCATTCTCTTCTGACTCTGAGCTTTTTTTCTGTTGCCAGGTGTTACCAGGACTCAACAGAGATGTTATAGCTGCTCTGCACACTGCGGACAGTCGTGGTGCCCCCGCAGCAAACCAGCGGACATATATATCACTTGACTGTGTGTCAGGACGATTACTGGATAAAGATCACAATATGACACTTTTCCTTTTCTGTGCTGGCTCAGTGAACAGTAGGAAAGCTCCTGCAGCTCAGCATGCCCCTGTCCAGGATATTGATCACAGATCTCAGACCTAAGACCTCTCAAGCCTGTCAGGGAAAATCATTCTGCTTTTTTTATTTTTCAAGAAATCACCTTAATTCTCACTTCACATTTTACATGATGATCTTCACCTGATGATCTCATTGTAAGACTATAATCTCTTTTTTAAAGGAAATCAAGACATGTTTATGCTCCATTTCTTGCTGAATAGCACAGTATCTTATCAGGAATCTTTCCAGTGTATCAGTACAAGTGTGGTGGAGTTTGCATGATGATATATTTGAATTTCTTTTGCTTTGTAGCACTATTAACCCACTCTCCATCTTTCTTTTTGATCTGTGCTTTTTATCAACATACACTGGCTTTAAGTCAAATAAAACATATAAAAATACAAGCATGTCTTAAAGGATAACAATAGCCGTATTCTATATTTTTGTTATTGTCAACAAAACTTCCCCAGACCAAGCTGTGATTCTCTTGTGAGTATGAACAGCAGCAGGAGTGTGTATGTGATGATCGCCTCAAAAATAAACTGCGGATGACAACATTCACCATAATGAATGAACATGTCTCCCAGTTTACAGGTATCGTTGTGGTACTGTTGTGGTTTTAATAGTTTTTGGACACCGGAGCTCTGTGGCTCAGAGGACTATGTTTCATTGTCTTTGCGTGGGATCTGTGGGCAGTAAGATAAAAAGCAGAATATTAGCAGTTGTATTCATGAAGCTGTTTTTTATTATCTCTGCAAAGTTGCACACTTTACTTTTTTGTGAGAAAGAATTGACTTTGATTTCTGTCAAAATGTGACCTTTTTAGATTGTTGTAAGTATTCACCTGCAGAGATTTACATATCAGTTATAATAACGAGTTCATTCCCTGTGTGATCATACATATCATGATTCTATTTTGGTAATATATGGAAGCACATTGCTGTTAATTTTTCCTCTAAATATCCTTTTTTTTCTGAACGCCAAAGGGGGAGCAGGGTGCTGTGACCCTTCATCTCCTCTATTCTTTTATAGAATGGCCAGAAACAAATCAATAGTGCAAGCAAAATCATTTTTATATATGCAGTTATTAGGTCATAAGCTACAGTATGTCACACTTCATTTTAGCAACAGCTGAGGCCTCCAGTGGGGCCGGCCAACCCTCCCACCCCCAGCCCTGTCCCCGCAGGGACATTATGAGAATCATAAATAATACGTGCTAATGAGATATGAATTGATTACGTGGGGAAAAGCTTGACGCTCTCAATCCATCACCCTAAATGATGTTTAACAATAGATTACCAGCCAATAATTCCTCCAATATGAGATTAAATAAAATAGCAGGGCAGTTTTCAGCAGACAACCGCTGCCTCCCTCTCCTCCCATTTTCCAACGGGTGGAAATAAATCTGCTCAATTACTGTACCGCCAATCCGTTTTTCACTGCTAAGGACATTATTATTTCATTTAGAGCTTGTTCATGCATCATAGATTATTTCATTTTACTCAGTCAATACGGAGAAGTGCAGTATTTTATTTTATCCACTGGGGCTTATGGTGAAGAGGGGTTTTAATGGAATATACTTGGCTCATGCAGAGGAGGGGGGCTTGCTGTGAACAGAGAGAAACAGAGTTATCACCTGAGTGCACTTTAGAAAAACCCCAATGTATATATTCATGCTCACATATTCATTTTTTGAGGCGATATATACATTTGCTCAATGCTATCCTCAGGCACCTGACAGACAATGAGAAAATGGTTCTCTGTCAAACCTGTGATCAATTGAAACCACATTAGCTGTGCCTATAAGATGATTTGGAACATCACTTCAATCCCAAAGAACAATGAAAATTGGATAACACACATGCTCACTGGGCTCTAACTTAGCTGCAAATCATGTTAAGGTTTTCAGTGAAGCCAAAGTTGTGATTGGTTATTTCTCCTTTAACTGCATCAAGTTGTACCTCTGAGGGTTTACTTGGGATGATCTGTGTTAATGTTTGTTCTTATCGCTTTTCTATGGCTCAAAGACACACACGCCTGGAAACAAACAAACAGAAACGCACAGAGCGGGAGTACTTGGAATGAAATTCCTAATAAAAGGTTGTGATCCTTGGTTGGCGTCTGGACGCGAGCTCCAACATGCAGCAGCTGGACCTGACACCTTTAGGTAACTCCAGAGAGACCATGTTTTAAAATGTAGAGGTTTTAAAGACAGCTTTTAGTGAGCGTTTCATTAGCTACATCTTCATTCTAGGAGTGCAGCTACAGGCGGAGAATGGTCTGCTGATCCAGTGACTTTTCGTCTCCTTGGTGACCTGTCTCCTGTCCCATCATGCAACACACGACTGAACTGCTGTGCAACTCTGAAATTGGCTTTTAGAAGTTCTGCATTATAAAGTACATCCAAATTAGTTAAATAAAAGACTTGGGTTCTAATCACAGATCTTAATCAGTTCAGATGGTGCGGTGAAGTCGCTCTGTTGGCTCGTTGGTCAGACTTTGGTTCAGACTGAAATATCTCATCACATGGGTTGTCATGGCCTGCTGCATAGACATTATTGGTTCCCAGAGGATGAATCCTACTAATTCTGGTGATCCCCTGACTTTTTCTAATGCACCACCAGCCAGCTGACATTTTGTATTGGGCTTTTACAACTAATGACAACTAATGATCGCTATGAAAGCTGGTACAGACATTCAAGGGCCCCACAAGATGAATTTTTCTCACTTTGGTGAGCCTCTGAAATTCTCTCAAGTGCCACGAGGCTGATATTTGTGGTTTTTACGTGAAATGTCTCACAATGGGCTGTATTGCCATGAAATTTGGTTCAGACATTCATGTTTGCTTTTAGCATGAACTGTAATACTTTTTTTGATCCCCTAACTTTTCATCTTACACTGCCATCAAGTGTCCAATACTTTAGTTTGTTAACAAATAGTTTCAGAACTTAAGACATTCCCTTTCACCTCATCTTCAAATTACTTTGCTACTAATTAGCAAATGTTAGCATGCTAACATGCTAAACTAATATTGTAAACAATATACCTGCATGTTAGCAGCGTCACTGTGAGCATGTCAATATGCTGATGTTATTATTTAGCTCAAAGTAATGCTGTGCCCAAGTGCAACCCTAACAGAGCTGCTAGCTAAAGAGTTGTAAACTCCCTGCAGAAACCTGTGCGCTATTTCTTCTGCAGGTGTGTGTCTGCAACAATTATTGTGCACATAGACAGGTTGCCATTGCTCTTTGATGCTGTAGTGGGTACTGTAGACAAATCTGCAGAAAACACACAGGAGAAGAATTTGTTGTTTTATAAATATGTTGTTTTTCTGATTATCAGCGTGTCTCAGTAAAAAGGCAGATGAGGAAGTGATTGGGTTGCAGGTACCACACATCAATGAGCCGCCAACAGGGAGTCGCAGGGAGTGTTTCCAAATCGAATGTACATGTTTGTGAAGCCCAGTGCGAGAAGCATTGCAGTCGGCCTTGTTCTTGTTAAACTATGGTTCAGAAGCTGGATATGCTGCACATTGCAGTGGATGTATATGTCATATACATCAGTTCATGAAACATCCGTGATGATCTTTAGAAAATAATTCCCCTTCCCCTCAGGTATTACACTGCTGTTCATCTCGAGCACCAACTCCTCTCTGATTCTCACACTTCTTATCTCTTAAGTCCTACCCATCATGCCTGAGTCCCTTGTACCTTGGCTTTGTAGCATCCCTCCTCATCCCTTTTCTATCCTGTCTTCCCAGTGCCCATTCAATCCCCTTCTCCCTCTGTCTCTTTGCTCCCTGCGTGGCCTCCTGTGGGTAAGGAGTTGAGTGGGCTTGTCTAGGGGCTGAAGTCGGGGGCTGGATTGGGAAGAGGTGGCTGTCACAGTGTCTGATTAATGACCCGTCGGTGGCGTGTCCAGCCACATTAGGGCTCCATGTATCTACCAGCGTCCACACAGGGCGAGGGGCTTTGTTCTGGGAGGAAATGGTGTCAGCGGCCCACAGCCGTTTGTCTATAAAAAGATAAAGATTTACTGTCATCAAAGGGCAGATTAAAGCCCACAATGGCGACATTGATTTTTTTCTTTTTTAAACCAAAAAATTCACATTTTGGTAAAACCCATTCCAGGACTAGAGAGAGATATGATCAGCTTATTTGGAAAGGATAATATGGAATCTTCTCCCAGAATGAACTTTGAAAGAAGTAAATTGTAAATATTGATTTCTGAAATGAAGTGTCAATCTTGGTTGGGCCAAGATTATTCCTATCATCTGGCTCAACCCCCAGCAAACGATGAATTCAAAACTGCTGACAAAGTGGAGTGTATAGGATTTCTGTTAGGAGCAGTCTGCAGCGCTTTACCGCTTGGCCGGCCTGAGCCCCTGCCGGTAATGGCTGTTCAATTTTATCAGATAACGGAGGAGATCTCATCAGAGGCGAAAAATGAAATGAACTGTGACTCCGAATCAGGATCCCTGCTCTTATCCCAGCAAAAATCATCCGTGCGGGGCCCAGGGCTTTCCATTATTTCAGGTCACTTCATTACGGCCCTGCACACAGGACCCAATTGCTACAAACAAAGCAGGCCCTTCCTGTCTCACCCAGGGGTCGAATGTGAGGGGCAGTTTGATAGGCTCTTGACGTGTCCAGGGTTATCCCATTACCACTTAAGAGGGTTGCTGAAAGGGAGCAAATCTCGCCCACTTGTTTGTTATCCTTTCTTACCCTTTTGTATCATGAGAGGTTTTATTGCTCACCTTATTTCTCATGGTGGAAAATAATTCATCTTTTCCTGTTGGGATTCAAAATGGATTTTTTTTTTTTTCTCGCTTTGCTCCTTATCGTCATCATGTGGATGATGAAGATAAGGTGAAGTGAGGAGCACAAATTTACCAATGCATTATGAAATATACAATTATGATTTAAGATATAATGACACAGCATGTATTATAACTTATTTTGGATTATACACAGGTAAAAGTTTCCTTAATACCCCAACCTTAACCCTAGAAGAAAGAATTGAGTTCTGGATAAATAAACAGGAAAATAACTGCATCATTATCACTTGCAACTGTTTCATGTGTGCCTATGTATGTGTGCGTATTTTCCTTACTTGCAATAATGAATGAAATAAGCTGTTATCGCAGAGGAATTTGTAGCTTTGTGAGTAATTACAGTTTTTGTTCCAGCCTCCATAGGCTCAGTATTGATCTCCAGGAGGAGGGTGGTCGATACACATGGGGGCAGGGGCATTTGATAGCTACACGGGAGAAAAATGACGTCGGTGCAAGCGGGGAGATTTGTAATAGAGCGATAAGACGAGCTAAAGGTGGGGAAACAAAGACTGAAGGTTCTCTATGTTCCTTGACTTCTTTGATAACATTCTTCATTCTGAAAAGTGACTGTTTCTGCAACTATTTTGGGTTGTTTTTTTGGATTAGCAGTTGTCTTAAAAAGGGCACAGTAAAGGAGTAGAAAATCAATGCCAAAAAAACTGAGTCACTTATAACTTCAAATGAATAATTCAGTGATGTGATGACACGTTGAAACATCTAGGGCCACTTTTTTCTGTTTTCAAACCTTTCAAAAGGTTTTTCTCTCTCAGGAGTCTCTGTCTTTCTGTTTTCATCTCTTCAAAAGGCTCAGA